GTTAAAAACGGTAACGGATGTTTGGGAAGCCACGTGTGTGCCGCTCTGCTGGAGATGAGTGGGATCTTTAGAGTGTGCTTGTTTTGGGGTCAGTCATTAAATGACGCTGCGACGTGGGATGGATTTGGGTGAAAAATCACATGAATGCAGCTGTGCAGATGCGTTTGTGTCAGGTTATGTGTTTGTGCTCACTAAAGCACTAAAAACGCTCCTTGACCTCTTTGTTTTTTTGTCTTGTTTGGCTCAGATCGAGCTCGCCATCCTGCGCTTCCCGTACGACTCGTGGGGGACACCTTTTCAGCAGCTGAAGCAGGTGGTGGAAGAGCCTTCGCCCCAGCTTCCCGCCGACCAGTTCTCCCCTGAGTTTGTGGACTTCACCTCTCAGTGGTTCGTGTTTTTCTGGTTTATTTTCTTGCTTTGTCCAACTTTCTTCCAGCCTGATCCACGTCTCAGATTTACACCCAGATCTTTACACAGGAGAAGCCTGCAGAGTCGCGAAGCTGCTACAGATCGCAGAGAGATGTGTACTGATCCCAGCTGAGTGGGCTTCAGATGATTTCCCCTTTATTCGATTGGCTTCATTGTTTTTGTTATTCTTGTTTTCACAGGATGGGACTGTATCTGAATATGCTGTAAACATGCAACTGTGCACTTTTTACAGATCCCCACGTATTAGTTTAATTACTCTAATTATGTAATTTTGTGTCACTGTAATTTACAAGAACTGAGCTGCAAATATTGTTTGAACCAGTGAGGGTGCACAGAGGTGAGGCGGGAGGCTGGCAGGTTTGGGGGTCATACGGGCAGGATGGCAGGAGAGCGCAGGTCGCTGTTAGCAGATGACTGCATGAATGTGAGACATGATGGCGGTAAAAATGAGGCGGTGGTTAGTTGGTAACGAGCAATAATAAATATTCTAAAGAGAAAAACACGGGTCTTTGAGAATGAACTGCTCAGTGGTTTCCATGTTTAATAGTTGTAATAGTCTCTAAACACTGAGTATAGTTTTTGATTATATTGTTTTTGTAATTGTTGGAAACAAAAATAATTATGTTTGAGATATTCATCAAGTTCCTGTTGTGAGTAAGAGCACAGAGAGATGGAGTATAAACAAAAGAAAAGAGAGAAAAGCGGGATGTCTTTGCGTTTGCGTATCGTTTTTGGAGGTTTGTCAAAAGCCGAGCGGCTGTTTCGTGCATCCTCTTCTGTAACGTTACTCCTCCAAACTGTAACCGCACCATTGAGAACGAGATTATTGTGTTTGTGCCTCCAAGATCAGATCTTCTACATGCCAAAAAATCGTTGGTTCTGTTCTTTCTTCGTTGCTTAGTGACACATGCAGGTATTTGTGCAGCGAGAAGACGTACGGCGAGTGAGCTGAAAGGATTTTCTTAATTTAAGACGGGCATCACAACCTTGCCTTTAAGAAAAGGGAGGCCGTGATGATGCAGGTGTAAACCTCACCTTACTCCAGTGCAAATGATGTCCAGTCAGTCAGAAGTTGTATTCATGCATAGCTCTGGAAGTTCAGGAATTGCAGAGGCTGCTGTGATGCACAGTGATGAGGGTTCATGAAGTAATAATGTCAGCTGGTTAAATGGCAAATGGACTGATTCTTATACAGAGCTTTTCTACACTCATAATCTGATGGATGCATTGGGGAGCAACTTGGGGTTACTATCTTGCCCAAGGATGTTTGGCGTGCAAGCTGCAGCAGCCAGGGATCAAACCAGCAACGTTCCGATCAGCAGATCTGCTCTTCCTCCTGAGCTACAGCCACCACAGTTGAAGAAGGAATGAGGAAGAAGTGCAAAAAACCTTCAGAGATTAAAAATCACAGATGAAAAGCAGATTCAGTGGACAGATTTGGTGATTTTTACCCTTCAGCTGTAAAAGGTTGATGGGGTATTGTTTCACTGGTGGGCCGGCGACATGGACACCTAGGTTTGTGAATGCAGTAACTTAAGCAGGAAGTCACCGAGGATTTTCAAAATTATACCACAGGTGTAGATACTAAAAATCCCGAAGTTTGAATCTCAGTGATCTCAATCTTTGTCCAAGTTTTCTGAAAGCCTTGTGAATGCACTGACCTGAGAATGAGGTTTTATTTATACAGCGCCAAGTCACTGCAACAGACTCCTCAAGGCGCTTTATGTTGTAAGGTAGACCCTACAATAATACATGCAGAGAAAAACCCAACAATCAGATGACCTCCTGTGAGCAAGCACTTTGGTGACAGCGGGAAGGAAAAACTCCCTTTTAACAGGAAGAAAGGCTTATGGGTAGACTGGTGGTTGCCAATATTTTAAATACTGTTTCACTCCACCTGCACTGCAGCAACGACCAAGCTGAAAATGCAATAACATTTATTTAAACTTGAGTTAAAAGCAACTGGTCTGTTTTTGAGGTACTTGAAGATGTTTCACAGCAGAGAGGTTTCCTGAAAGCTGTTGGGTTGTCACCTTGGAGGTGGTCCAGGTGGATGTGGGGCCATCTCTCGTCTGTCTTCTCTGTCCAGAATGCAAATGTTTGGATGCTCAGGAGAGTCTCTTCTGCTTGTCAGTCCAAATATATCGCTGAGCTTCGTCCTGAAGATCTGACTCTTGTATTGTTCAGTGATCAACTTTTAGATGATGTGAAGAAGTGTTTGGGAAGACAAATGAAATGTCTTCAGGAAGCTTAAAGAAGTCTGGCAGCCTTTGGAAGACTGAGAGCTTACAGTGGCATGCAACAACAGCTGGAACATTGACAAGAATATCTCCTGTTACCGGTTGTTCCACATAGAACTGAAATACCAGCCACCCCACCCACAACATGCTTAACATGCAAATAACTGAAGAACCTTAGTAATGTGGAAACTGCATAATTGTGGCAGTGATGTGAATACTGAACTCTTTTCGCCCAGCACTGCCAACACCAGCAGACTTCTTCTTCCTGTCACTAATGTAAAGTGATGCTGCCTTTAAGCAAAGCCAAATTATTCAATTGTTTTTCTTTTCTTTGTAATGTTTTTTTTTTTTTGGCTTGTTTTGAACTTTTTGGGGGCCGGCTATTTGCTGGAGTAGTCCATGTTCATCTGGTTTCCTGTGGGAGATTCAAGCTTAATGTGCAGCTGCTGAATGAACGTGATGGTCAGACGCCTGCCTGATGGTGTTCTGTGAATCTGGGTGAATCTGAAATGCTTACATGATGTACGGCTGCTGACCTGAAATAACACTCGATCACACTGAGAAACGAGTCGTCCTCCAGTTTCGATCATTGTTTCCTGGTGATATCAGAAAATGATGCTGCAGTACTCAGAATGCAGAAAGACACTGATGTGACTATGTTCTTTGGTGCTTGGGTGACTCATCGTGCTTGGTTGTATTTTTTCTGTTACCTTGAAACCCTCGGAGGCTGGCAGTCTGCGACTTCTCCGACGCTTTCATAGAATAACACTGAATCAGACGCTGGAACAGATCTGTGGCAAGAGTGGGGAAGTCCACCATTTAATCTTCATCTTTGCTTTTTCTTCTTCTTCTGCAGCTTAAAGAAAGTTTCCAAAGAGCGGCCGACTTACACAGAACTCATGGTGAGTGTTTCTGTGTTAACAGATTATAAGCATGACCTCCCTGCAAGCACCTTGTAATGCTGTTAATCAAACACTGGGGGGTGCACTTAGATTGTTATTTACAAACCCTGTATTTGACGCTTGAAGCCAAGATGCTTCACTGGTCTCATCCATGGAAGGTTTACTAAAGGTCCAGTAAAAGCTCAGAGTATCAGGGGGTGCAGGTGTTTGAATGGCTGCAGCTTAATCAATTAAGCACAAAGAGACCCGAAATGGATGCAAACGAACAACAAAAGACACAAAAATGATTTTTTTTTTTTAAATGTGCAAAATGACCATGAACCAAGACTTCCTACAAGCTCTAAAATGACCAAGTGATGCAAAATAAAACCCAAATGACTGGAAATTAACAGAAGACACAGAATTAAGAGCTGCAAAGTCACCAACAAAATGAATAGAAGCAAAATGATGCACATACATGTGAAATCGGTGCATAAGGACAACAATCGGATTGTTTACGACTAAGATTCATGAACCGACTATAAACAAATACAAAATGTCCACATAAAGATGCAAATCGTGCCGTTGAAAAGTTGAAAAAAATTCAATTCAATATAATTTATATTGCGCCAAAGTTTGGCAACCAGATACAAATTGACCAGAAAAGGCAACAAAGGTGTCACTACAAGAGATGACAACAAATGAGTGTAAACCAAGTGTCAAAAACTAAAATCAGATTGAAAACAGCTGCAAAGAAATGCTCTAATGACCATAATTACAATGCAAACTGCAACACAACAACACGACAGCCTCAAAGTTCAAGGAATTGATGCTTTAATTGCCTTTTTCTGACTTGGCTCCCGACTAACTCCGTGTCCGTTTCCTCCTCAGCAACATCTCTTCTTCACCTCCCACGAGGCCAAAGAAACCGACGTGGCTAGCTTTGTGAAAGTCATCTTGGGAGACTGAGTGCACTGGAGGGAGGGGGAGGAATCTGTTAAAAAAGAGGAAACAAAAAAAAAAAAATCCAAGAAAAAAACACCAATCGCATCCCATTTACCCGCAGGATTCCCTCTCACCCCTCCCTCCAGTGGCAGACAAACGGAGCCCAGAGGAGCCGCTGACGAAGCAGAACGAGGAGTCTGTCCCCGCCCCCCACCTGGCCTCAGCCCCCCCCTCTGTGCATCACCTGGCACGGTGGGAGGAGTTTGGGAGACGGGAGCCTCACACAGAATCTGGAGTAATTTATGATGTGTGTATGCAAAGCCTCCCCGTTTGATTCGATTTGCCCCGCTGCTGCGCTCCTCCTCGAGCGCTGTTGTTAGCGCGCTGACTCTGTGGCCTCCACAAGTGTCGAGTCATAGTTTCTTTTTTGCTGAAAAGCAGAAGCGAGAAGATGTGCAGATTATATAAAAAAAAGAAGAATGATATAATCTATCTGTGTATAATCTAAATGTTTGCATACTCGAAGCAAGTGTTGCATCAGATTATTAATTGACTGCATGTACAGAATTTCTCTCTGGGTAAAGACGGGCTCATGTGGCCAGTGAGGAACAGTTGGAGAGTCCGATTGTTGACTTCAGGGGCTCCCCCCAGTGGTCACAAAGAGGTACTGCACTTACACTGCTTTCCCCCCTGATTACAGTGGAGGTCAACTACACATTTTGGGCTCTTGGCTGCCTGTGAGCGTGAATGTGTGCGAGCTGGTGCATGACATGTGTGTGTGGGGCATGTTCACAGAGCTGCACGGCTCCAAATCCAAGTAGAAACGCAGTTTTCGTGCTTCGCAACATTTTTTTTATGGATTTTCTGCAGCCTCGCTGCCCCTGTAAGAGCTCAACAGGCAGGGCAACACTCTTATGTTGCTTTAAAAGTACAGGCAACTATGCGTCTGCACATCATGTTCAAATGTGACGCATGTAATAAAGAGCTTTATTTTAAAACTAGTTAGTATGGTAGTCTAGTACAAGCATAGACTGTATATTAAAGATGGAAATGGCCACCATGACGCCGCCGTGTCAGCAAGGTTCTGTAATTTGAAAGGCGTCTAAATAAATTGTGAAGTTGTGCTTTTTGGTGTGACTGTACCCATGTGGTCGGGGTGCCCCATCAGCAAACTCAGCGATGACTGCTGGTTCAAACACGTCCATTTATTTTTAATGTATTTCTAATTTGACCCCTCAAAAGACCCCAAACAAAAGATGTGAGAACAATGAAAGTTGCGAATAGATATCAAACTGTTACACTTTACTGTGATATTGTAAAGTAATGTAGCCAAATGCACCAAAGTCCAATAGATATGAGATTCTGAGGTCCAGCTGGTTTGGCTGGTTTGAAGCTACTGACTGCTCCGTCCCTGATCCTTCCTGCGTGAAGCTGAATCGCAGATCTTTGAGACAAAGCCGGAGCCGAGTCGCAGCCGTGCAGCTTCGTGTCGCTCACACACACTTTAAATGTCGGGGTGTGTGTTTGCGTGTGTGTGTGGGCTGTGTGGGGGAAGATTTTCTCCTTGTTGTCTGTACTGAGCCAATCACAACCCTCTCCACTCACCATGAAAAGAACTGGATACTATTGCTATTATTATTATTATTATTATTAATATTAATTATTGTTATTATTTAGATCCAGGTTTTTTCTCCCCCCTTCGACATACTTACTGCAGTTTCTCTTATTTATTATAACTGCTGTTTTCCCTTTGGAAACTTGACCGAACCATTTGAGACTCTCCTCACGTGTTTGTGTGAGCTGTGTATGGTTTTTGTTTTTCTTTGTGTTTTTTTTTTTGTCGTGTTCTTCTTGGCTCAAACACGTGAAATGCTTTTAATCTGTAACTTGCAAGCCTTCTGTGTGCCTCTATATAGAAACCGTCTAAGGAAAATGAGATGTTAAGAATGATGCAGGGATCCGCTCCCTCCCTCCTCACACGCTGCATGGCATCATAATCCCACTTTGTGTTCCTGGTTGTACCGTAGCTCATGCTCGTTTTTTTATGTTTTTATGCTTGTGTTCATCTCTCTCGTTGCCTTTGTTCTTGGCCTCTTTCTCGCAGTGATTTCTGTGGAGGCCGAGCTGACGCCTTCTAGATGTCATGTAAGAATTACTCTGATGTCAAAACGGGAAACTTGAAGTGTTTTAAGTGGCAGAGCTGAATTATCACGTGATTTCTTCTAATTTTGACTTCTGGGGCCTTAAACTGTGTCAAAAACTGAACCAAAAACACTTCTAATCTGTTCTGACAAGACTTTTACCCCCGAATCTGCTCGACATTACAGCATCGATAAATCGTCACTATACAACCACAAACCCTAAAACTCGGGGGTCCACCTTCAGTCGATTTAGCTGTTAGAGTTGCAGTCAAACTGGACATCAACATCATTTAAAGCTGTATTAAATTATTAGTTTATACGAATTTGAAAGAACTTTTGGGCCATCCGGGGGCACAGCACCCTGTAAACATATCATTGATATTTATAGTCCTATACACGCATCATATTTGCTTCTATCTATTCATGCTTAAGGTCATCACAACAAAAGGCTTCTTCCCCGGACACTCCTGTCTGCCAACACTCCCTCAGACGTGGTTTGCTGCTAACATCAGAACAGATCTGGTATACACACCTGCAAACAACTCAAACAATCTCAGCTGTAATCAGAGCTAACTGAGAGAAAACAAACTCCAGCTAACAAAGTGGAAGGAGATGATAATGCTCCTAATTCCTCCTTACCACGTCCATTAAGAAGACTTCAGTTTTCCATTCCGGCATTCCTGTCTCCAGGATCATACTGTGCACGCATCCGTCCAGGTCTCAGATATTGAAACACAGACGTGAGACGTGCAGCAGCAAAACAGACACACACCCCTCCCTGAACCCGATTGAAGCTGACTTAGGACCCAGTTGGACTTGATTTATCATTGTGTAGAGGCTTCAAACACACAGGAAATGTAGTCGGAATAAACAAACCTGTGTGGCACTGGGCCTTTACCCGACTAGCTGTCCTCCCTGAAGTTCAAAAACATGTTAAACTCATAGAAGACGTCTGAATAATGATGAGCTTTGACTGAAAAGTCAGAGGACACGTTTCCTCAATACTAACTCGGCAGATCTTCCTGGGAGGCAGCGCTGGACCGACTTGCTGCCTGAGCGTGCGGGTACAACCACCAACTCCAACACAGTGATCCGGGACGCTTTGAGACCCATGTGGGTGTCTGATCAAGCCGTCTGGTAACCAAGTGAACAGCAGAAACGTTGGCGCCTATCAACCTTTCGCTATTCAACCAAACTGAAGTCGATGCAGAGCTTAGACAGCTCGGTGAGTGCTGAGGGCTGTAAACTCCTAGATTCATGGTTGGGAAAAATGGTTTTTAGCTTTTATTTTTTGTCAACCAGGACAATTTTACGACTGAGCAACCACATTTACCCGAAAACATCATCTGTGGACCTCTGGGGCTCTATTTTAAAGAAATAATGTTCTCTCTGCTGTTTTGCCAGACTCCAAAACAAAGTCTCCTGCCCTCAGTCGAGTACAGTTCGCTCTGTCATGTTATCAGGGAAGTTTCCTGTTTTGATGCAGAGTAAAAACCTTCCTTTCACCCTATAACCTGCTCCCTGTTGGGCTCCAGTCCCACAACCTTTGGCTTAGATAATTCCTTGAAGTACTGCGAACACGCCCATGCCCGCCTCACAAAGCTGTCTTATTTTTCTTTATGAAGCTCTCACCGTTCTCTATTTTTCATCTATAGTTCTCATTTTCCGACTTCACCAACTGTTTCTCTGTGGTGAAGCTGAGAGTGAGGACTGGCAGCAGACAGAAGTCATCGCGGCGAGGACATTTAAGGGCTTCCTCATTAGTGCATCTCTGTACCGAAGATGGAAATATACTGGAGAGACTTTTAATTGCCCCTAGTGTTTTTAGGCCATGATGAAATTAACAAAATTCAAGTCACACTTTCTGGAAGCAGAGCAAAATTATCCATCACAGGTCGAACCTCGAGATTCTTTTTTTTCCATTAGTGAAAAATGGTTATTAACCTAACTTAGCAAATGTGACCAAAGAGCTGGAGCCAGGCTTAGGAGGCCAAGAAAGGTAGTCGAACTCGTCATGGCACGCGTAGACTCGGAGCAGTGGATTTAGGTTTGTGTGGCGCTCGTAGGTGTTTTAAGTGCCTAACAGTACATATCTGTGGTGTACATTTACATTGAAACACTTGTCTGTCTTCGTGATTGATGCTTAAACACTGTTTTGGTCCTTCAGTTCCTGTCCTGGACCCACTGACACTGCAATTTGCTGTGATGTTTTGCACTGTACCGAGGAGTCATATCACATTGTCACATTTATGAGTGTGTTACTGTAAGGAAGCAGTCATTCAGTCGATGAAGGGTTGCCCTGTGTGTGGTCATTTTCCATCTTTTTTTTTTTTTTTGTGAGAGGGAGAGTTTGGAGTTAGAGGTTCTGACTTTTATTTAACTGAAATTGTGATACTGTAAAAATTCTGAAATAATACCAAGCTTTTCTTCAACTGCTCACTTTGTTTTTGCTGCTGTTTGCACTCGTCGGCCATGCTTAGTCTGTACAGCTGTCAACATCAAAGATGAAGGGTGACACTGACCCGACGGAAACCTGTTACAGAGCAAAGGCTTTTATTGTGAAAACCCTTTTTGCAAAAGCCCGCAGATCGCGTTTGGTTATCATGTTACAGGTTAGCAGCCTTGTAGTGATTCTTGCCCACAAATATAGATGGAAACATTTAGTGCCACCATATAAACGACATCAAAACCCTTTAGTCTAAATAAAAATGAGCCATTTTCACACAAGCTCTCAGACTGCAAGGATGCAAACGTAAAGCTGAAGCCTCGGTTTATTTATGACCCTGTTATGTTTTTACACAGGACTGTTTATCATACCTGACCTGTTTCATTTATCTATGAAAGATTTTTAAATGATTCTAATGTCTTTTTGTCTTTGATGCAGACAAAGAGTGAAAATAGCTGTGTGGCCTAACTTTTGGCGTCCAGTATTTGCTTCAAGCCTTACGCAGCAGTAAATCACAGCGCTCGTTCTGTTAGCGCTGATTCACCACAAACATCACAATGTAGTTGTTAAACTCTTTGCTCCACCACGAGGCCAATTCCTCTAAACGACACTCTGTAGGAGAAGCGGTTTAAAAAGATGTGGCAGCATTTTTACCCACGGAACTGTACGGCCGGGGTTATAAATGAGGCCACTCAGTCACCTGAAGGTTAAACACAGTTTACTGTGAGTGTAGAGCTGACTAACTGGTGATTGGCTGTCAGGAGACAGGCGGCTTCCTGTTGTCTGCTCGGTGCGAGGGCAGCCTCGGCCAGCGCCCTGACCTGAGTTCACGTGTGAAAATGGCTTCACTCGGCGTGACTGCTGAGAGCTTGTACAACTTTAAGTGGGTTTAGTGTTAAAATCAGTGGGAAAATTTTAAGTTCATGGTTGCAATTCAGAGGAGATTAAATTAAATATTTTATAGCTGCCACTGTACAATATGAACTCATAAAAGACAGAATTCTGACATTCCTGGAAAATCATTCTGGATTGCACGCCGCTTTCCAAACATGTCCACACAATGTGCACATGGTAAATTGCATTTTTTTTTTAGTAGTTTCACAAATTTTTTCCACAAAATAATTGAAAAAAATTCTTTAGATTTGTGTTGAAGAAATAATTTTAATTTTGTAGTTTTGCTTGTTCTGCCAAAACACAAGAATATATAATGTATGCAGCTAAGTAATGGGACACGTGCTACTGACATACAGAAAGAAGCGGGAGAGTCACTTTATGTGGTTGCATCAAGTTCTTCATAACTTAAAGCTACTTTAGTTTCTCTTACACTGAAAATAAACATTTTATTAAATTATATATTTGGGTTTCCACAAAGGACAGTTGTACAGACAACACACACACACACACACACACACACACACACACACACACACACACACACACACACACACACACACTAATGAGAAACGCAGCAGGTTTTGTCTGAGACCCTTCTAACTCCACGCAACTCTTTGTTTCCTCTGCTCAGCGCTGACATTTCTGGTCCACAGTTGATTCATGTTCACTTTTCAATAGGCTGTAATGAGAAAAGAGTCGAGTTTAATCACACGTCACATGGGATTTTCCTGTGTGTGTGTGTGTGTGTGTGTGTGTGTGTGTGTGTGTGTGTGCGTGCACATTTGTCTGTCCCATCGTTGTGCTGGCCAGAGAGCTCTGCTATCTTTACTCTGCTCTTCCTCTTTGGGAAGATGCTGCCAGATAAAACAGTCATCATGCTTCTCCTCCTTCGTCAGAGCTGCACCCAGAGAACGGTTTTCCTTTTTGTTTAAGTGCTCCTTTATACATGCCTGCCCGCACGTGGGAATTCCCATCCGTGAGTCTAATTGTGGCCCGCTCTCACCTGCTGAGTAAAGCTTTGTCGCTGTGCATCAGCAAGGGTAGGATGTCCGAGTGGAAACTGTCCTTAGTGAGCAATCTGTTTTCACATCCCTCCACAATTCACCCTCTTAACCTCCAAGCTCATCTGTGCAGCGTCCAACAGCAGGCATCCGTTAAATCCAGTAGACGATTGTTCTTTACTGGAACGCCAAACACTTATTTATTTTGTCTTTTTTTGATTTTGAATGTCAGACAGAGAATCAGGAAATTTTGCTCACCTTCTTCCTCGTCCTCCAAATGCGTCAGCAGATGAATGAAATGCATCAAAAAAGCCTGCTTTGTGTGGGAGGCTCCTCCGGGCCTTTGGACGTGCGTTCGGCCGGATTATATCGAGTGTAAATCTGTCGTCTGTGAACCGTGCTGAGCCGTCTGTCGAAAACTACAACGAGACTTGTGAACCGTGGCGCTTTCTGTTTCTCAGTCGCAGCTGGTAAACTGCTGGTACACACAGCTGTATGTGATGTTTGCGGTGTTGTGTTCCTTTATTCGGGGAGGGGGGGTGGGAGGTTGCAAAATAATCCAGAGATGCTACTGTATGTGGAAGAGAGCCTTTTTTGTTGCTGTCGGGTGGGTTCGGGGGGTCGGGATGCTGTGCCCCATGGGAAGTGAAGTTCTCAGTATATTTACACGTCTTTTAAGCCTCTGCTAAAGACTGATGACTGTTCATTTAGAGCTCAATGAATTTCTATAAATATTTTAAATTGCTCAAACTGATTGTGTGCAATTGTAATGATGGAAATTCAATAAAAAGGTATTTTTACACAATAAGCTCCGTTTGCTCTGTTGTTACAATTAGTTCTAGAAGGTGAAAGGTCATGGAGGCAGAGATGGCAGACAGTTTTCAATGGGACCGTTTGGTTTAACACAAATGCTACAACTGCATTTATTATACAGAACACTTGGTTAACTTTAAAATTAGGCTAAAATACTAAAATGCTCGTATTCATTTTGCATGGCTTTGCAGACAACAGGGCATCTTTCATTTAAATTACAGTTGACCGGAGCAACCTGCTAGCAGGTAAGGAAACTGCAAGGAGGAGGTTTTTGGAGCTGCACCTCTTTGCAACCAGTTTCACCTACAGCAGCTGCCAGCAACCACTCACCAACCAGACGTGGATACACACTTCTCGCAGGTAACTGCCCGCCACGTGCTCAGTGACCTGTTTCTCTATAACGCTGTGTGCAGTGATTGCACCAGTATGATTAATGCATGCAGCTTGATAACCAAGCTTGCTAATATTAGCTGCTAACTTTAGCCCTTCCAAGAATGCCCAAGAAAGAGGAAACTCCTCAAAGCAGACGCAAAAGTCACTGGAAAGGTTTTACATCTTGTCTGGAGGAAAACCACTGAGCCGAAGGATGTCCGCTGTCACCATGACTCAACTTCAGATAAATGGAAGGCAATGGATAGATTGCGATGGAAAGCCACTTAGTAATAACTCTGCTTCCAAGAAGTACTTCTTGCTACTTTATAAAGAATCTAGCATGATTGTAACCATAGAACATTTTCTGTTACAAACATGCAACATGGAAAGAAGCAGGACAAAAGTCTGACATCTTATAAAGAAATGGATCTGAGCCCAGACCCCCCTGATTAAGTTCTCTCAGGTTCAGGTGAAGCATCTATACTTAAAAAAATGAAAGGAAGACTTTAATCAGAGTACAGCATCAAGCTGGATGTTGAGCTGGTCAGTTAAGTAGCAGAGGGGATTGTTTTACCTAGTGATTTACCTTCATGTTAAATCACTTTTTGCTTTTTAAAGAACTTATTTTAACTCAACAACAAACAAAAAAGGAACTTCAAGGGCAAAATTGCCTTATACCTCTTCACTTCGATATGTAGTCTGCAAGTAGGGCCGACGTGGGCCGCGAGTTTGAGACCCCTGGCGTAAACAGAACAGGAGCAGGGTGGAGAGAGACAGCCAGAGAACGTTTTTTTGTCCTGCCTCTGGCCACGCTTCTGCTAAATGGAGTTTAGTATTTAGTTTGATTAGTTTAGGGATCAAGTGATCATTCCTCTTAGATTGAACCAAATTGTGAAGTTGGAGAGTTGTTGTTAGACTCTTTTTTTTTTTGAACCCATTTGTTAGACACTTTTGAAAAGGGTGAAGGAAAAGTTGTTTTTTGTTTGAAGACAGTTTGAAGCTCGTCAGCGATGGCAGGAATTCTGCGAATAGTGAAGTATCTGATTTTAAGGGGGCTTCCACAATAAATGTGTACTTTGATTTTCTAATCTACTGTAGGTCTGTAAACTGGTTTAAATTTGTCTGCGGACGTCTTCAGGATGGTCTTCTTGTTCAGCTTTACAACACTTTCAGTTACACATGGAGCTCCTCTAGTATATCAAAGCAATGACCCTTCGACGGGAATTGAATTTTGAAGAAGACGACAAAGTCGTATTGAGCCAAATCTGCTGAGTAGCGTGGCTGATGAGAGATATTTAAAACCACAAGATGCTCTGACATGTAAAATCAAGAAAAATTTCCTATTCTGCTCTATTTCTAGATCACAAATTAAATTGAAGCGCATTAGTGGCACTGACCACGTTAACTCCACTGGACAAGAGGTCATATTCGCTTGAGTTGTATCCTTCTATTGATGCAGCATTCAGATGATGCTCAGGCGGATCTGATCTACTCATCAGCGGCGTGTTAGTATCGCATTGTGATATAGTTGAAAACATGGCAACTAAGTTTAAGTGTTAGTTTGTTATTTGGAGCAAACAGGGGGTTTATGAGCATCTGATCATTGCTAAGCTGAAGGTTTCTATAGGGACAATGCTTGGACTGCTAAAGGCTTTATCGGATCAGCTAAATCAAATGCATGACCAGAGTGTCAGTACGTCGAGCTTTATTCACTGAGAAATAGAAAAAAGAACTTCATTGGGGATTACGGACGAAAAGTTCTGCCAAAAGAAGGCAGGAATCAAGGACAAAAGCTTGAGGTTCTCAGAGACCACCGACATACCAGTTCATAATGGAAAAAATTTCTAGTTTGAGTTTAGTGACCACAATAAAAATGGAGATGCAACAGTGGAACAAGCCCACATTGAAACACGGTGGTATCTTCTATCTCGATTTGGACATCTGGACTGGAATTACGGACATTTCCTTTTTACGATTCCTCATAAATGTGATCTGATCTTTGTCTAACCCTGAATTACAGACAGACACTCTCTCAATAAATTACATACAAACAGTTATACTTTGCGTATCTTTACTGAACACAGTGAGAAATGATTCGCTGTCCAGCCTGAGCTACAAATTCTTCAAAAGCGTCTTAGAGTCAGATGTTACAAATGAAACTCAAATTAATTCACCGGTTCAAAACAACAGTCACCTCTAGTATACTTTTGTAAAGTAAAGACCCTACAATAAGGGAGAGAAAATCCCAATATCAGATAACGGCCTATGAGCAAACACTTGGTGACAGCAGGAAGGAAAAACTCTTTTCACAGGAAGAAACCTGATCCAGCCCTAACTACATGCTTTTAAACAACTGAAGGCTCTGCCTCCCATTCTACTTTTAAATACTCTACAAGTAAGCCTGCAGTCTGAGAGCAAGGTGCTCTAATGGGGTGATACGGCACTATGAGGTGATGGATGAGATGTGTGAGCTACTGAAGTGTCCCTCCCATAACTAAAGTCGTACAAAGTTACTAACAAACTCTGCTTATTTCCAGAACTGGATGAAAAACTTGATCTCAACAGCTTTCAAAAGATCTTTAGAAGATTCGTTAGAGATGCATCAAAATCTCTAAGAGGCATTTTTTTCAAAATAAGACAAACTCTCTACAAATAATGTCGTTTTGTCATAAAGATCACACTGAGATCAAAACATGTAATCTAGAAAAAGATAAAAATAAATAACACCTCTAGAAGTCTTACCATAGCTTTCATGTGTACACTCTTAAACAGTGAATAGGACTGATGTTAATGGAAGGACACCACAAAGGAAACCAGCTGTTTAGCACACCAACATGGAAACCTCATTCATTAACCTCGCACAAACCTTCCATTCCTGTGAAGCACGGTGGAGTGAACATCAAGGTTTAGGCCCACATCAGCACCTAAAAGCAATATGTTTACTTGGGAACTATTGGGAACTAATATATTAAAAAAGGTGATAAAAGTCGTCAAGGACCTGATGTTAAACAAGCAGTTTATGGTCACACTTTTAATAATT